GAGAAGCAATTTAGAACTGAGGAGAAATTTCCTGACAGAACAATTAACCAGTGGAACAACTTGCCTCCAGAAGTTGTGAATGCTGAAAGTTTTAAAGATGATGTTGGATATCCATTTGTCTGAAGTGGTGTAGGGTTTCCTGCCTAAGCAGGGGATTGGACTAGAAGACCTCCAAGGTCCCTTCCTACTATATTCTAGAATTACAATTTTTCCTTCTTTCCTGATCTGGCAAGGTGGACAGAACAACAAACCATTGGTGGGTGGAAGGCTCTTCCAAATTTTTTCCTGCCCATGCACATGGTAGAAAGAGAATTCTCTCTGTCTAGTTCAGGAGTTGGGCCATGAGTCAAAAAAAGGCTGAGGGATTCGAAGGATTGTAGAACCTGAGATTCAGTTCTGTTTTGGATGTTTGATAACAGCAAAATCAACAACTGGTTGTCCTGAATTTTCTCTCAAACCGTAAATGGTGTAATTCCAAACTAGAATTGCATTTCAAATCCAGTTGTCGTTAATTTAGTTAGTCTATGCCAGTGATGGCAAACCTTTTCGGCACTGAGTGCTCAAACCAGGACATGCACACCAGGGAACTGGAAACCCAAAGGCCAGTTGGGCCAGTGCACACATTTCTGGTACTCCAGCGCACACAAAGACCAGCTGGCTGGCATGCATGCACACACCAAACACCAGAAGAGCAGCTGGCAACGGTGCCCGTGCCCGCAGAGAAGGCTCTGCATGCCACCTCTGGCACATGTGCCGTCACGGGTATATATGCCTTTTTTCAGCTAGTAACTTGCCCATCCTCACAAAGAGATGGTGACTAAATCAAAAAAGAGATATTCATTCAGCAGAATTGTGGTAGAGAGTAGCCTTCCTAATTTAGTGTCCACCCATTCAGATGTATTTGCCTATGAATTCCCAAGCAGCTGAGTGGAATTCTGGGAGTTGAAGGCCAACATATCTGAAGGACTGATGTGATGGGTCAACTTTTGGACATTTGGAGCTAGTGGTCACCATGAAAAAAAAACATGGGTTTTAATACGACCTAACTTTCACTACTAATTATTCCATTTAGCAAATAAATGTCTTCCCTACCCTTTTACCAGCAAACATTAGGAATCTTGCAGCTGAAATGGAATATTACTTTTTTTAAAAAAAACTCCCTTAAAATTCTTCTGAACAGACTTCTAAGTGAGCATTATATCCGGAAATCCTTTGTGCTTCTCACACTCCAGTGATAAAATCCATTTTTCCTGTGTATATGGTTGTAGAATCAAGTTTTGAATTGCGAGTCAGGGCAAGTAAGATGGTATTGTTGTTGAGTGAGTAGGATTTTTTTCCCTTAAATTAAAGNAGTAAAGGCACAGGTGGATGGTGAATGACCCCTCCCATAGGGAATAAAGAGGAGCAAAAGGGGAATGGAGTTTGCAGGAGACAACTTGTTCGTTTAATTAGTGTGAAGATTTGTTTGCGACTCTCAGAGTCTCCTTGTCGGAGTATTTTCTTGTACAGCGTTGTGTTTGGAAGATATCGGCCTGGCAGCTCTCCAAGCCTGATAAGGTCTGTGGTTGTCAATTCACTCTTGAAAGACACTTTGCAGGATGTGAATGAGAGGAGTTCACATGAGCTTAATAAAAAGGGGTTTTATCGGGACAAAGAGTCTGCTTCGTGATTTGATGAAGCCTAGGTCAGAACAGGATGGTTGTAAATCACTTTTTCCAATAACCACTGTAACATCAAATGACCCCAAAAGAATGGCTGAAAGTTGGAGTCTGCTTGTAATGGAATCCCTTCACTAGGTGACAAATAAGTATGGGACTTATCCTTAAAGCAAGTAGGCCTCCACCCTCTAAAAACTTCACACAATCAGATTTTCTGAAAATGTGATGTCAGCTTTTCTTTCCTTCTGTCTCTTCCCTTTCCTCACAGGTGGACTGCAATGCTAAACTTGACCCAACAAAGACCACGCTTTTAAAGGTAACCCACCTCTGGCCCAAAGCGGAGCTCTTGGGGTTGGTGTGAAGAGTTCAGATTTTTGTGAAAAGGACTAGAGCAGGAGTGTCCAGCTTTGGCCACTTCAAGACCTGTGGATGTCAAACTCTCAGAATTCATGACTGGCTGGAGAATTCCGAGAGTTGAAGTAGCCAAGGTTGGACACCCCTGGACTATAGAGTGTTTTGATCCAGGTGTTAGTAGTTAGAGCAATGCAACTAGTTGAGAGATACGCTACACTAAGCAGATAGTAGTGAAATCAAAGAGAGGTAGGAGCTGAAGGCTACAAGTATGGAAGGCACTCTTCCTTCTTGACTGACAAAAATCACTGACCTATATTTTTGGCCAAGCATTAGGGTTCTTAAACGTAATTAGGGGTCAGTAGATAGTACTACTATGTTTAGAAATTCATCCCATAATAGATTTTAATCCTGCTCGGAGGGAAGCGTGCAGGCTCAAGTGGTAAACGTGCCCCATTTCGTTGACCCATGTCAAGCTTAATACAGTAAACACTTAAGAAGATTCTGGGGTTGAGAAGTTTATCCAGGCATTATGAGTGCTGCCAGACTTTTCTGGAACTCAAAGCCTTTGTTCCCATCCCTCATTCTATAGTTAGTCTTGGGGGGGGGGTCATGTCATACTGGTGATGGGAGGTACAGTTTGAACTACTTTATAGGGCCCTGGTGAGGCCACACTTGGAATACTGCATCCAGTTTTGGTCGCCACGATGTAGAAAAGATGTGGAGACTCTAGAAAG